TCTCATTTGTAAGATGTCAATTTGCAAAAAGACCACAGACAACATTCAGGGGGGTTCCCGCTGAAGGAGAGACCTGCTGCTGGTTCTGTGAATGTGGGGGAGACCTAATAAAAGATCCAGATTTCACTCTTGAGGAGCACACACCATAATGTGGAACTATAGCATATCTTAAGGTATAAGGTTCATGTATCTCTGAACCTTAGGGCCCCACACATGCATTCAGGAAGTTGATAGAGGGGTGTGTGGGTGTGTGTCCATTTTCTGAAGGAGGAATCTTTGCATGAGTGCTTTCTTCTACAATGCTGCAAAGTGGTGACCCTTGTTCAGTGACTGGCTCAGGAGAGCAGTCATTGCTGTCTGCCATGTAGCGGGCCTCATCTCTGGATGGATCCCACACACAATGGAGTGAAGTGATGCCTGGTCCTTTGCTGTCCCTTCAGAGTGCTATAATCCATAGGGTATTCACTGGCTGATTTTCAGAAGATCACTAGACCTTTCTTCCTAGTCTATCTTGGCTTGGAAGCTCCGTTTAAAGCTGTTCACCATCATAGCAACATGAGAGCTTCTGTAGGCAGGCAGGTGTTGGCGACACATGAGTGCATTGGCCAAGAATCAGACTTGGTCCTTTGCAAGGAAGGCATACATTCTGCACTCCCCTTAACTAAGGACATATGGGGGAGTCATAAAGATTCTATCTTAACTTTTTCTATCATTATACTATTTTAAAAAATAATTTTACAACAGAAAAAAAGAAGAGAGACTTATCTTTAGTGACATTCCTAGAGTACAATAAAGAGATTGCAGTCAGGGCTTCTGGCTGAGGGACCTGGGTGGAGTGCAGGAGAGGTTACAAACTATCCCCAGCTGGTCGGAGGCAGATTTGGGCAGCATTCGTCATCTCTCCCTGCGGTACCCACCATCCTTTACATAAATATCTGCTCCTGGCAGCAAGAGATGGTGTTTCATAAGGCTAGTGCTACACAGTCAGGTTATCTGAATATGATACTAAGCAAATGCATGATACTTTGGGTGAGACAAAGCAATGCTTCTTCATTCCTTTCCTCAAGCCTCGAGTTGGACCTGGTTGCTAAGTTAAAAGAGCTTCCTACTGTTTGTTTATAGACATGGGAGGGCCAGCCTGCACAGTCTGAGGTGGAAAACACAGAGAAATGTGGTCCTGCCGGGGTTCCAAGTTCCCTCACTCACTGCTAGACTCTGACATATACACAGCAGTGGAAGGTAGTTTGTATTCCTTTCTTCAATTATGTGCTCAGCATTTTTGATGCTTTTTAGATAGGAAGGTAGTGAGCAGTGTGCCAAGCTATAGGCTGGTCCCCGGGTTCCCACGTCACAGATTCCAACAGTTGTGTCCATAGAGCCCACTTTGAGAGAGTCTGTGGATTTCCAACAGTCCTAGTGCCCACAGGACAATTGGGCTGGATGTGGGATCTACCTTTTCTGTGGTTTGAGTATCCAAGTCTTTATGAGTAGGTAGAAGTGCAAAGCTTGACTGAACAAAGCTATAAACTCAGTAGCTCCCTAAGTGTTCTCCCCGAGAATCCTTTCATCTAGTTTGACAGCAAAACAACTGCATAGCTTTGTCTTTGAGTTCCAGTTGGCTGCTTGTCCAGGTCCCAGCTGAGGTTTACTTTTCTCCTCCTTGCCCCTCTCTTGGCTTCTACAGATGAAATCCCTTATAATTTCCTGTCACTCTCCTGTCTTTGATCTTTTTCTGTTCTCCAGGCTTGGAACCGCCAAAGCTCAGCGGCGCCACACACTTCTCTGTATTTCACACCAACACAAGGACTGAGTTCTCGCCTGAGCAGTCTTCTTATCTGGCCTCAGAGCCTGTGGCCAAAAGCAACAAACTTCACCCTCACAGGCTAGGCACTGCCACCTGATCACCCCTGGGGAGTGTCTGCTCTTCCCGTAAGAAGCCAAAAAATGTATTAAACAAACACATCTGCGACTGCTGCCTATCCTAATCCAGAATGCAAAATAACACTCAAAATATAATCCTGCAGAAGAGAATTAAAAAAGAGACAAGAAAAAAAGACAGCTAAAGATCTAGACTTGTAAATTATGTCATTAAGAAGTTCCTCCTCTAAGTAAAACATGTTAAAATGTGTATGAATTTTTAATAAAAATATGTTCAATTATATATCACGTTGTTGTTACCTGGTGTCAAGCCAGAAACTCATGGGTGATGCTTCAGCATGTCAGAAGTTCATATTTTAGGCTTTAAGATATTTAACATGTCTTATGTCTTATATTTAAAATTCTATTTTTAAGTGTAAGCTATTTTACAGGTAAATAAAAACTTGTCTACAAAATGAGATATAGTGAGTAATGCCAATGTCAAGGCAGACAGTTCAAATCCACCAGCTGCTTCAAGGGAGAAAGATTGGCATCCTCCTTCTATGAGATTTACAGCCTCTGAAAACCTATTGCAGGGTTGACTAGGGGTCAATTCTCACTCAACAGCAATAAGTTGTTGTTGTTGTTGTTGTTGTTATGTGCCGTTGAGTCACTTGCGACTCATAGCGACCCTATGTACAACAGCCCTAAACTCTGCTCTGTCCTGTGCCAATCTCACCATCTCTGATACACTCATCCCAATTACCCCAATCACTGAATCAATCCACCTCATAGAGGGCCTTCCCCTCCTGCGCTGTCCCTCCACCCTACCAAGCATGATGTCCCTCTCCAAGGATCAGTCCCTCCTTACATGTCCAATATATGTTAGATGGAGCCTCAGAATCCTTGCCTCCAAGGAGTCGTGCAGTTTGACCCTTTCCAGGATGAATCTGTTTGTTTTCCTAGCAGTCCATGGTACCCTCAATACTCTTCTCCAGCACCACAGCTCAAAGGCATCAATTCTCTTTCTATCCTCCTTAGTCATTGTCCAACTCTCTGATGCATAACAAGTGATTGCAAAGACCATGGCCTGTATCAGACGCACCTTAGTCTCCAGAGAGACATCGTTGTTCTTCAGTACTTTGGAGAGGTTCCTAACAGCAGACTTTCCCATGGCAATACATCTTCTAATTTCCTGGCTACTGGTACTGAGAGTGTTGACTGTGGAGCCAATCAAACTGAAGCTGTGAACAATCTCAATCTCTTCACCATCCATCCTGATGTTGCCAATTGGCCCAGTGGTGAGAATCTTTATCTACTTGACATTGAGCCTCAATCCATATTGGATGCTGCAGTCCTTGACCCTCTTCAGCAAGCGCTTCAGGTCTTCTTCAGTTTCAGCAAGCAGGGTTGTGTCATCAGCATATTGCAGGTGGTTGATAGATCTTCCACCAACCTTGACCCCACATTCCTCCTCATAGAACCCAGCCTCCCGGATAATCTGTTCTGCATACAGCTTGAAAAGGTATGGAGTAAGTAGAAATTTTTATATCATAAAAGGTTAAAGTATGTGATTGTTGTTAAGTGCCATTCAGGTAACTCTGTAAACAGTTAATCAGTACCTTGGCCTCTCCTGTGTCATCCTCATCATCCCTGACACACTAGAGCCCACTATTATAGTCCCTGTGTCAGTCCCTCTAGTTGAGGTTTTTCTCTTCCTTTCCTGTCTCTCCACCTTTCTCAATATGATGTCCTTTTCCAAGGACTGGCCCCTCCTAAAAATATGTCCAATATAAGTGAGATTTCCCTAACCTTGCAAGTGTATACAAAAGCACTCTTCTCCAGAAATAAATGTTCTCTAAATTTAGGTCTAATATTTTAGAAACAAGACATTTAAAAATTTATGCTCTGGTGTCCTTAGTAGCAAAAAGCTAACTGCAATCGCGAAGGCACGTAGTTCAAGACCACTAGGTGCTCCGCAGGAGAAGGATGGACAGTCTCTTCCTGGGGGAGTAACTGCCCCTGAAATCCCACCGGAGAGTCAGCTATGAGTTGGTTTCAATTCTATGGTACACAATTATTTTTCATAAACTATCTTTTTACATTATATATAATGTTGTTGCTATGTGCCTCTGAGTTGAAACTGACTCATAGCTGACCCTCCAGTAGGTCACAAGTTTCTGTTTTATTCTTTGACTTTTAACATAAATGGCTTACTAGGCATCTGAGAGCTGGGCAATGACTAAGGATGACAGAACAATTGATGCCTTTGAGTTGTGGTGCTGGAAAAGAATATTAAATTCTTGGGCTGCCAAGAGAACAAACAGGTCTTTCCAGGAAAGGGTGAAACCAGGTTGCTCCTGGGAGGCAAGGGTTTTGAAGCTCCACCTTACATACTTCGGCCATGTTGTCAGGACTCAGTCCTTGGAAAAAGACATCATGCTTAATAGGGTAGAGGATCAGCCCTGAAGTTCCTGGATGTGAGAGATTGCCCCAGTGACTGTGGCAATGGGGGCAGGTATGTCGGGATATGGTGATATTAGCTCAGGATAGGGCAAGCTTCAAATCTCTTGTTTCAGGGTCACTATGAGTCGTGACCCATAGTCTTTACAATTGCTTGCTATGCGTCTGAAAGCTGGACAATGACTAGGTGTGCGCTGTGGTGCTGGAGAAGTGTTAAGTACCACCCATGGATGGCTAGGAGAACAAACAGGTTCTTCCTGGAGAGGAATTAAACCAGGTTACTCCTTGGAGGCAAGGATTCTAAAGCTTCGTCTGACATACTTTGGACATGTTGCAAGGAGGGACCAGTCCTTGGAGAGGGACTCATGCTTGGAAGGGCGGAGGGGCGGAGAAAGGGAGACCATTGATGTAGTGACTGGAGTAATGAGCGTGGGTGTATCAGAGATAGTAAAGTTGGCACAGGATAGGGCAGGTTTCACATAGGATCGCTATGAATCGCAAGCGACTCTACAGCACATAATAAACGACAACATGAGCCGTAGTAGACTCGACGCCACATGACATCAATAATTTATATTTAAGATTCTGTTGTAAGAATAAGCTCCTTCCCAGCCCTCCCCCCACTCCCGCCCCAGCCCAGCCGCTCGCGGCTCTGACGCCCTGTCTCCTTCCGCCTGCAGGCATCGGCAAGAACGTCATCTGCGACCGCACGGCGACGCCGCTGGACGCCTTCCGCATGACGTCAGCGGCGCACTACTACCCCAAGCTCATGAGCATCATGGGAAATGTGCTGCGCTTCCTGCCGGCCTTCGTGCACATGAAGCGGCTCATCGAGGAGGGCTACGTGGGCGAGCTGCTGGTGTGCGAGGTGCAGGTGCACAGCGGCAGCCTGCTGGGCAAGAAGTACAACTGGAGCTGCGACGACCTGATGGGCGGCGGCGGCCTGCACTCGGTGGGCACCTACATCATCGACCTGCTCACCTTCCTCACCGGCCAGAAGGCTGTCAAGGTCCACGGGCTGCTCAAGACCTTCGTGAAGCAGACCGACCACATCAAGGGCATCCGCCAGATTACCAGCGACGACTTCTGCACCTTCCAGATGGTGCTGGAGGGCGGCGTGTGCTGCACCGTCACCCTCAACTTCAACGTGCCCGGCGAGTTCAAGCAGGACGTGACGGTGGTGGGCTCGGCCGGGCGCCTGCTGGCCGTGGGCACCGACCTGTACGGGCAGCGCAACGGCGCCCCGGAGCAGGAGCTGCTGCTGCAGGATGCCACCCCCGTCAGCAACGCGCTGCTGCCCGAGAAGGCCCTCAGCGACATCCCCTCACCCTACCTGCGAGGCACCATCAAGATGATGCAGGCCGTGCGCCAGGCCTTCCAGGACCAGGACGACCGGCGCACGTGGGACGGACGGCCGCTCACCATGGCCGCCACCTTCGACGACTGCCTGTACGCCCTGTGCGTAGTGGACACCATTAAGAGGTCCAGCCAGACGGGCGAGTGGCAGAACATCGACATCATGACGGAGGAGCCCGAGCTGAGCCCCGCCTACCTGATCAGCGAGGCCATGCGGAGGAGCAGGATGTCACTGTACTCATAGCTGAGGACCTCAGGGACTTGGGCCTTCTGCGTGAGGCAGAGGGGGGTCTGCGGGCAATATGGAGGTGGGAGAAGGCCAGCAGTGTGAGTGAAAGGTAGCTGGGAAAACCAGATTGAGTTAACAGCCTGGGTGCGTTCACAGGGTTTGTAATTCGATCCCAGAGATCAGGTCCTTGCTAGGGCTTTGCCTAAGAGGCTTAGCTGTCCGTCTGCCTTTACTGTGAAGTGAGGCGTGGCTGTCCTCCTAACGGGTCCACACACACACACTTTGACCTCCTTGGCAAGCCCAGTGGTCCTGCAAGGTCACGGGTGCTGTCAGACCGCAGGCTCCCTTGTTGCCAGGTTCCCTGCGCCCTCTGGAGGCAGGATGAGACATTGCCTGCACGTGCCTATACAGGCCTGTTAGTGTGGAGGAGGGCGGGGTGGTCACTCAGCGCTTCAGGAAACCTCTTTATTCTACTTAGAGTATCTGAGGGAGGGGAAAGTACTTGGTAGCAACGTGTACAGCTTCCTTGATTGGTTGTTCGCCCTTTCAGGAAGCACGACCTAATGTCTACCTAACTGCTTCATTGGCCATGCCCTGATGGGGTGAGAATTGGTCCCCAGGGAAGGCGTCCCTAAAACCAAAAAGTGGAGCGTTAACCGTTTGGAAACAAGATGAGGCAGAGAGTAAAAGATCCCCTTGAGTTCTCAAAAAATGTAGAAATTGTACAGAGCCTCTTAATATTTCCAGTGTAAGAGGGGTTTGTGAATTTGCTAGTTACTGAAGTACTGAGGTAGTCCTGCCATGTGGCTCTCCAGGGCACTGCGGAGTAGACTGCTCAGGGTGAGACCATGTGATTTCATCCAAAGCCCTAGCCTCAGAGTCCTGGTGCAGCCATGGGATTCTTTAAAAGGGAATTTCCCTTTGGGCTGGCATGAGACTCTTAAGACCCACCTCTCCTACTTATCTGAGGAAGGACTTTTAGGAGATTCAGTCTGCTTTGCAAATTTTAAAGAGATACAGCTCAAATCTAGTTTTCATCCCATAAAAAAAAAATCAAGGCTCCCTACCACCCCCCAGCTTTGGCCTTTGCTCTCAGGATTCGAACACTCAAGAGATTTTGAATAAGTATTACACAAAATAAAAAGATCAACAAGGAACTCAATTTTCAGTGTTTATTAAACAAGGATTTTAGAGCCCTGTGAGGTATATACCTCTTCTAGGATTAAGAAGGCTCATGTTAGGGGTGGAAATGTCTTCTTTTTGGTCTGTTCTCTTGTCCTTTTACCCCTCTGAATATAGAGCTTTTACTAGAGTTAGAAAATAGAAGGCTTAGAGCAGGCAGTGCCATGAGAATATCAGAGTCTCTCTCTCCCTCTTCCTCTTTCCCTCGACCCCTCTGTCTCACACACACTATAAATGTTCACTATCCTTGAATGTCGCTTAAATCATTCTGAAAAATTCAGATCTGATATTGACAGAAAGTCAAATATATCTTTTAAAACAAGGGTACCTCCTTGTCTTATCTTTTCTACCATAACTCTTCACCCCACATAAGACACCTTTCTAGGCTGGGTGTTGAAAGTACCTGTAAACCTTTACACTCCCTCTGTGGGCAAACAACTGTTTTCAGCATAAGGTTATTCCAGATAACCAGAGTAGAACCTAGAAGGGAATTTAGAGAGCCTTAGAGATCCTCCAATCCCCAGCCTTTACTATGTGGGCAACATCTAAGATGTAATCATGATATTTCCCTGGTAGGGTCAACATATGAGCCCAGGCTGCTAGTCAGAGTGGAGTAGGTGTGCAAATCCCAAGGGAAATGACAGGAAGGTGAAGGGTTGTCCTCTTAATAATCACCTTACTTCCAAGGACGTTACAGAAACTTGGTTCAATAGGACTCTCAATGGTCCATTGTCAGCCCTGATCTATTTACAGCCTTCGGGATCATACTGTTAGGTTTTATCAAATATGAACTCAAAACTAAAAAAGCTAGCATGGAAGTCTCTAGTAATGATCTGAGTAGATGGCTACACTATGTGCTGCTTTGGTCCTGTGTTTTGTGGAAACTGAATGGAGAGAATCTCCCATCCCTGACCCTAGCCATATAAAGACATTGGAATTAAGGATAGAGGGCAGCTAGGTGACTGTGGATCTCATCTTCTAAATAGTGCGTAATCTAAATGGGGTTGTACCTGGAGTTTCATTTGATGTTTCTGGACTGATTTTGATTTTTTTCCCCCAGAGAGATCTCTGAGCTCTGTGACAAATATTCAGTGTCATCAAACAGAAATTCTCGTTTGAGGCTAGGGCGTAGAAAAGAGATACATTTTTTTTTTTAAAAAAAAAAGGAAGAAAGCATGGACTATATTATTTTCGTACGTGTGCTCAATTTTATCTGCTGAAATGCATGTAATAGGTAGATGTAGGAATGAAAGGGCAAACCTAGATAGTTCATTTTTCATACATATATTATTAGAGCAAATGGGTTTTGACAGGTTGTTCGCTTTTGCCTCTGACCTATCACATGCAAACTGATTGGGAGCAAAAATTTGAAGCCGAAATCTCAAGCTTTCACCAATATGGCATACCCCTCAGGTTAGGGCCCTATCAGCTGACTTTGACTTAAGACTAAAGCCCGGCAATAATCAAGCTTGTGCTTTGTGTAGTATGTTTTAAGAGCCTTCAGTAACTGGTGCATCAAATTAATTTTTAACATCAATTACACCACCACCACTCATTCTGGAGCCCTTGTGGCATAATAATACCTGAAAGGTTGGTGGTTCAAGTCTACCAGCTACTCTGCTTTCCTTAAGGTTCACCTCTCAGAATTGGATACTGAATCATCATGAGTCAGAGCAACTTGAGAGCAGTAAGTTTCATTTTTTTTTTTTTTCTGGCTAATTTTGGTCCCATTATTTTGTCTGTTATACTACATCTCTCTGCAGTGTCTTTAAGTTCCAGGTTCTGAGAAACAGACTAGGTCAAGAGGTCTTACTGGCATCCATCCATCATTGTGTGACAACATCCTGAACTTGCTTAGATCAATTGGAATCCATGTACCCTCTTCCGTTGACTTGTCAGTCTCCCAGTGGGAAAGGCATAGGGAGCACAGGACCAGAGATAATCCTGAACCTCCCCCACTGTGAAGATCTGTGTGTCAGGTGATGCTGGGGTCTCCAGGGACTATTGTGGGTGCCTCCAACTCGAAATTTCTTATTCTTGACTTTCTCCATCTGCAGAGAGCAGTGCCAAGCACTCTCAGTCCTACCAATTTTGGAAAATCTTAACATTTCTTGATTATTCACCATGTGCAAGATATTGAAATGCATTCTAAACAGCTTATTGCTGTCAAGTCGGAATGACTCAGCTGGTTTTGATGGGCAATCAAACAGGATGAAATTGCCCATCTATCTCTCCTGGAGTCGATGATGGACTCAGACTGCCTGAGAGGCTCGGTCTTTGGGTTACCAGCACTTATCCCTGTGGACTAGGTCACCATAAGTTATGTATATTATTACCTAAGTTAATTAATAAACAGTCTTATAGTATTCAATATTGCTTCCTTTTTACAAATGTAAACATTATGGCTCAGAAAGGAAGAGTATCTTGCCCAAGGTCAAACAACTAGTCAGCAGCACAAGTAGGGTCAGCTCAACCCAACACCCTTCTGCTCCGAGCCCCATGTGTGGCCTCCAAGAAGAAAGAGCTGGGCCTGTGCAGTTCTTGTCAGGCAGCAACAAGAACTTGGTCTTGACCCAGTAGGAGTCTTTGTGCCCTGCCCCTGGCGCAGCCAGGTTGAGAGCTGAGTCTGTCCCACTGCTCCACTCAGGCACAGTACACACCCTCCTTTTGAGCAGGAGGGCTGCACCATTTGATATTCTGCCAGAGAGAACATCAGAGAGCTGCAAATAGAAGTGGTTAGTTTTTCTCCCTTTTCAGAAATGGAAACATCCCTTTGCTTTTTTAAAAGCTGACGTTTCAAGTTGATTTTGATTGTTGGTGATGCAGCAAACCTTATAGGTAGAGATTTTCAAATCATTGTCAGCCAGTTATTATACATGGCCCTGGATGCTGTTGTCCGGGTATAATGTAGGGAAATGTCTGGTCTCAGGGATTGGGGCTTTTGAAGTTCATTTTTGTATGACTCCAGTTTTTAACTGTGTTTTGCATCCATATCTCGGTTTCTCTGTCCATCTTATAGCTGCAGCTGTTGACTATGCTGGGCCTTCACCAATGAATGTCCGATCTGATGCCTCTTATTCTGATGTGTCAGGGAAGACGAGGCAGTAAATCTGTTTGCATGTGAAGGGACCTCAGAGCCTATTAGTCATCCCCCACCCCCAACTTCATCTTAAACACTAGAGAGCTTATATGGAGGTCATGACATATCTTGAGAGGCAGATCCAAGCCTGAGAGCCCCGGTTTCTGAGTGTGCCACCATTCAGGGCTCTGATGAGGAACATGGGGCTCAGGAAAGAAGGATGACTCACAGGCCACTTTGCTGGCTGGGGAAGGAGTTTGAATGAGAACTCAAACCTGTGCTGAACTATATTCTCAGAGCTGCTGCAAGTAAACCAGTGTTTTTGGCAATGAAAATACATATCTAATGAACTCAGAGGACTAGCTATTTCAAGATTTCTGTTGTGATTATAACATGAACAATTATCTCTAATTTGACCTTTATTCACCAAAGAGAGGGCACACACATCAAGATTTTCTCCTTTGAAATATCCTGAGGTCAGTTCTCTTCTCCCCATCCCTAGTAATTTTTAATCATTCCTAATCAAGGCTGATGAATTTAAGGTTTCTAACCACTTCTTTTTTCCATCAAAACCATCGAGTGGAGAAAGCAGAGACCATGACATTGGAAAGCACACTTTTTAAAAAAAATACAATTGACTGACAGAACCATCTGTTCCCTTTCAGGGGCACAGAGAGCAGTGGCAATGAGAGATTAGCTGTGTGGTCTGCAGTGTGGCCTCCCAGGCATGGCCACCATCATCACCAGCAGTAGGGTTGCCCACCAAGCCAGCCCGCTTGTACAG